GATAGATAGATAGATAGATAGATAGATAGATAGATAGATAGATAGATCAAGCTGGCTGGCTGGCTGCCTGGATAGATACATATATCAAGATGGATAGACAGATGATAGACAGACAGACAGACAGACAGACAGACCCTCACTACTCACTGTAGGATTTTGCACCGGCTGTGTCGGCTCCGTTCTCTCTGGCAACAGTCCAGGTAGCTGATGCAGATCTCCTGGGGGGACAAAAGCACCATTTGCAAAGGCCCCCCCAAAAGCAGAAAAACGAGGTGCCTTCGCCACAGCCAAGACAGCCGGGGAGGGAAGGGGAAAGAGAGAGCGGCCTCCCTGGAATCCCCCCCCCCCAGGCTCTGCCGACATATCACCTCACCTCTCCCCGGTGGATGTCCTCCACGGCCGTCAAATGCAGGACAAAATTGTTATCCGGGAAGGAGGCCTCGGCGTTGGGAAGACAGCTGTGGTTGCCTGTAGAAAGGAGCAGAGGAAGCCGTTGTCCGGATGAGGGGGAAGCGGTCCGGGGTGGCAAAGAGCAGAGACCCCCCCGGGAGAGGAAAGGGAGAGGAAAGGGGGAGGCGGAGAGGCGGTGCTGGGTACTCACAGCAGCTCTGGAGCGTGTAGAGGCCGGAGCCTTCGCAGTTCAGGAAGTCCCCTGTCTCTAAAACCAAAGAGACCGAGAGAGACGGTGAAGAGAAAGACGGGCAACGTGGAAGAGGCTGAACGAAGTTGGAAGGGGTGTGGAGCCACGAGGCTCAAAAGCCGACCCTGGGACCGAGAGAGGGAGGGGGGGGGAAGGAGATAGATGGGAGGGATGGAGGAGAGGAGAAAAGGGGAAGGGAGAAAAGAGGGAGGGAAGGAGGGAGAGAAGGAAGGAGGGAAAGAAGGAGATAGATGGGAGGGAGGAAGATAGGAGAAAAAGGCTAGGGAGGGGGGAAGGGAGGAAGGGAGGAAGGAAGAAAGGAAGGAGATAGATGGGAGGGAGGGAGGATAGGAGAAAAGGGGAAGGGAGGAGGGAGGGAAGGAGGGAGGGAAGGAAGGAGATAGATGGGAGGAATGGAGGATAGGAGAAAAGGGGGAGGGAGGGAGGGAGGGAAGGAGGGAGGGAGATAGATGGGAGGAATGGAGGATAGGAGAAAAAGGGAAGGGGGAAGGAAGGAAGGAAGAAAATAGATGGGAAGGATGGAGGAACGGAGAAACGTAAGGAAGGAAAGCAGGAAGGTAGGAAAGAGAGGAAGAAGGATGAGGGGGGAAGGAAGGAATGGAGAGTGGGATGAAGGGTGAGAGGAAGGAAGGAGATAGATGGAAGGATGGAGGAATGGAAGGAAGGAAGGAGAGAGAGAGAGAGATTGAGAGAGAGATGGAAGGGACAGAGGGAGGGATGGAAGGAAGGACGGTTCGGACTCTTTTGAGGTCTTAGAAAGCATCTACTCAGCCCTTCAACCTCTGATCCACATGGTCTTCCCTAGATCTTCCAGAGTGTCATGAGTTGGGCAATGCTACCCCAACGTCTGGTACTTTCTCCCCAATTTCCAGAACACCCATGGAAGCCCCCTACCCACAAGAATCCACCGAGCCTCCCCACCATCCCATCCCGTCCCTTCCCCCCAGCAAGGCAAGGACCTTCAAGGGGCTGGAGGTCTCCCCATCTGACTCACCTTTCTCGATGTCCTTGTACAGCTGGTCGATGAAAGCGTCCAACTGTTCCCGTTGTTGAGCGGGGAGCTCCAAAGCGTCGCAGGCACGGACCCACTGACTCAGGGAGCTGCCGGGTGGGGGGTGGGGAGGAGGGGAGGGAGGGCGGGGGAGAGAGAGAAGCAAAGCCCACAACAAGTGGGATTATGAGTCTCAACCTGCCCTCAATTTCTTTGGGGCTACAACTACCCCGTTTCCCCCGAAAATAAGACCTACCCCGAAAGTAAGTCCTAGCTTGATTTTTACACGTGTGCCCAATATAAGCCCTACCCCCCAAAAAAAATAAGCCCTAATTAAGATCCTGCCCACTCCAGCACATGCAAGTGAGGTTAGTCAGTGGATGTTGTGGTTTTCTGGCAGCAAGTGAGGATGGTTGAGGAGAGCAAGGACTCAGATGAGGGACCAGGACCATTAGGGAGTGGACGGCTGCCTTCAGAGATGGTGGGGGCTGGCAGCAGCAATGAGGAGGTTTCTAAGGAGCCTGTGCCAATTGCACGTGCGCACAGGGCTGCTCACAGGAAAGAGCAGCTGCAGCAGCACAGGCGACTCAGGAGTAAGGCTGCAAGGTGATGGCCCCTCCTTTAAGAAGATAAAAGC